ACATATATATATATATATATAATGATATAAATTTTGTTTCATTCTGGCAAATTGTTATTCTGTACAATCACTTATTCACTATTTCATCTTGCTTCACACTGCTACTGTGCTGAAAATTGAAGGTCGTAAAAAAAGTTCTACTGATTAAACAAGGCATTATCATGAAATATCTTTACACTTTGAATCTCCAATGTAAAAATGTATACTGGAACAAAATAGTTCTTTAACACAAAATCTATTTGTTTCAGTTAATATAAACTGCCAAGAGATACAAATAGTAAGTTATAAATGTAATAGTTTTATAGAATCAAAAGTAAAAATTATTCTTTTTGGGATCAAAATAAATTTGATATTGTTTGAAAGTTCTTCAATTACTTTAATACTACTTAGGGCTTTTTACTTTAAGAAGTAAACTTCTTAAGTTCTAGGTTACTCAAAATAACTTTGATAAATAAGTATCAAGGGGCATTGTAAAATGTTGAGATCTTTTAACACCACTTACATAAGAATGCTGAGTTCTAGTGTTTCAAAAACACTTGCTTTAGAATGTTCAGTATTTCAACACTATTTCCTTTAGAATGTTTAGTTCTAGTGTTTCAAAACCAATTCCTTTAGAATGTTCAGTTCATGTTTCAGCAGTGCTTTAAAACATTAAGTATAATCATGAGAGACAGAGAGATCCCTTCAGAAAACTTTATAAACAAAATGTTTGTAATGTATTAAAGATTCAGTTACCTGTTTCTACCAGTTTCTGGGTCTTTTACTCTTCGTACAACAGTTTGTTGTTTTTCCCATTCTTCTTTACTCATAGGAACCATTCTACAGTTCCCAGTTTCACTTAACTGTGGTCCAATCACTTAATAAATGAGGAAGCATATTGCTGTTTAGAACATATGCTAAACTATAATATATGTTTACTTACAGCATTATCAATCTTCCTTCTGCTAAAACTACATCGTAAAAAATAAAGTAATGATCCCTAAATAGTAAATTTTTAGCACATATTTTCAACTTTCTAATCACTTTCTCAAGCTTATTTATAACCTTATGCAGAACAAAACTACAAAAACAAAATTTCATAAGTACTCTTTGACACTTATGCTTGATATTGTTATATTGATATATATTATGCTTTCTTGATATTAACAATAATATTTTTTTTTTATATTACTAAGATTTTAGTTCCTTTGTGTTGTATTTAAACTGAAACTATTTGTATATCAGCAAAAATTATTTCAAAAACATACTTTCTGTATCATCTCCTGTTTGGGTGTTTTGTTGCTGGGCCTGTTTTGTTTTAGCATGATCATGGATGGCAGCTTTCTTGGATTTTTTATGTTTCTTTTTTTTTTCTTTTCGATGTTTGCTTTTTCTCCTGGAATCCCTTTTTTTCTGCTTATGTTTATGTTTTTGATGTTTTTTTTGTTTTTCACTTGATGATGATGAGGATGTAGAAGATTCTGATTCAGATGATTTACTGCTAGTTTTATGCTGATTTTTTCTTCTTTTTCCTTCTTTCTTTTGTTTGTGATATTTCACTTTTTTTTGACACAGTGACTTCAGGACAGTGAGACAAATTGGCCAATGTACTTTGGCTTCTTTTTCTTGGTATTTTGTGGTCCATGTTATCTCATCTTCAAGACGATATATTCAAAAAAGAATTCACAGTTTAAGTGTTTGAGACACAATACCACCATCAGAATAATTTGTTACATTTAACACTTTTTCATATTTATTAAAATATAATGTTACTAATATTAACCCACAACACTTCTATTAGTATTAAAACTTACAAGACACAAACTTCATGAGCTAAATAATTCTAGTTATATAATTGTACCTTTTAATGCACAAATGTATCAAGGCTTTGGGCTTTTAATTTATATTTTAAAAAGACTGTTTACCAAAAACGTCTGCTAAGTTCTGGATTACTCAAAAATCTTTAATAGTTTAAAAAAGACTATGTAAAAAGAAAAAAACTAAAAATTAAAATAGTAAAATAACAAATAATATATTATACTATAAACAAATATGTTGAAATGCAAAGTTCATAATCCAGAATTAGGTGTAAGAACAACACTAAACCAACCTTCTGTTCATATCATTCGATAATAATAATAAATAACAAATGAAAGATTTTTTTTTCTATGAACTTGCAACAAAAATTAAAATCAAGTGCTGTAGCACAACACAACAGTAACACTGACACACTTGAGCTACCACTACCAGTTTAAATTTATTAGTTAAAAAACTTGTTAAAAAATGAAATCGACTGTTTATGCCATAACGTTTTATTATAATAACAATACTGTTTTCACCTTGATTTAATTATAATTTGAATTGAACTTCCTGATATTCTACTAGTTTTCTACAAATGTAGAATCTGTAAAATCCACTGTTGGTGTTATTCTCTATTTTTTTTTTAGTTAACGATTAGCGGTTAACGACTGATAACTTATTTAATTTCTTATTTAATACTAGAATTTATAGTATTGTCTTCCATACACTGATTTCTAGTACTAGTAGAAATAAACGCCCTTATAACACCAAAATGTTGTTTTTATTTAATTAGACACTCAACGTTTCACTTTACAGCTTCTTCGGCCTGTTTATTTCTAGTATTAACGACTGATAATGTCAATAGACTAACCTATGGTAATAAGGCAAGGAAAGGGTACAAAGTTTCATACAGACCTTTCCACAAACATATATCTATACCTTTTCATATACCACTGTTTTCCTTTTTTACACTTTACAGCGTCAGTTGTGCTCGAAACTGTGCTAGTCGCTGAAGTTGTATTCGGTTTCATTTCATTACATCTCCTTAGATAATGAAAAAAATATTATGAAAATATTACTCGTGTTTACAAGAGGAATTGTTGTTTTTATTTCAGGACTGAATACAAGTTTTAAAAACGTCTGACTAATAATTAGGGCATATTTTGAAACACCCAGTTCTTTACAGTATTGTTATTTATTTATTTACAACTAGCTGCAGTATCCGTCACCTGGACGAAAGTTATGTAAATTCACGATTAATGAAGGTTATCTTAAAACATGAAAAGTTGTGTTGCGTATCTTCTTGTTTGTTAATTTCCCGTTGTAATTCTTTCCGAGAAACTTTAGCGATACTAGTCCTTTCTTAATTAAAACTAGTTTATTCTTTCTCGATATAACTTTGCAATACACAGAAT